TTGATATCTGCTTGCATTCTTAAGGCCCCCCCCCCCCCTCAGAAATGGTGATTTTCGGTCAAAAAATCGGTTTTGAGATACGCAGATGAAAAGATAGCCTGAAGTGTCTGCTTCCAGAATCTGTATTGCTTTTGGTTACAAAACTGTTTTTTCGGGGATTTTGAGCAAGTTTTCTAAGAACCTCGAAAAAACGGGTCTTCAAATAATGTTTTTTTCCTGGACCCTTATGCAACTAAAATTTTATTGAAAATACAGCTTTGCAGGGCAAAAGTTTCTGATCAAAATAAGACCTCGCACAACTTTGTATGACCTTGCATCAAAAAGTTACAGGCATTTTCCTAGAAGTCCTGAAATCGAGTATTTCATACAGCGTTTAATAAAGCGTTTTCACTATATAAGAGTTACACCTGTAGTGCGTCCCAAGATTTTTAATAGCGATTTGTCGTAGAGAGTTCATTCTTTTTTTGTTTAAAAGAGGAAAAGAAACCACATCGACTGACCGGCGTCGGTTTTTGAATTAGGTCTTAGTTTTTTGTCAAACTGAGGATTTTTCGGGTTTCGGAGGTTATTGGTTGCCTGGAAAACCAATAAAGGCTTAATTGAAAAATCGGCGCCGGTCAGTCCATGTAGTTAGGTGTCTAGTTTAAAATAAAACAACCCGAACTCTCCAGCTTGAAGTATATTAAAAAATCTTGGGACGCCGTTCAGGGTGCTTTTTAGACCTTGATCTCTGGAAAACTCCAAAACCGTAAGACTTGGAGGCAAAAAAATTTTTTCATTCCCGTAACTCATTGTACCGAACATTCACGGAAAGTTTCGTCAAGGTCGGATGTACGGTGTCGGAGATAATTTCTGAGGGGGGGCCCTTAAACCCATACTTAGCAATTTTTGTGTGGCACCCCGATTTTAGAAATTTTATAATATGCACATTTAATGCTGTGCTAGCTCCAAGCTAGTCGTAAGATCCAGTGGTCTATCAAAGTTTACTAACTAGATGGAATTTGTAGTGGAAAGAGCTAACATTCAACAACGAATCCTAAATCTATACAACAACAACTAGAGAAAAATACATTTACGCGTGGATACCCTCACTATCTATCACATGTACGCATCACCACGGGAGAGACACTAGCAAGCGAGACTTCAAATTGTCAAGCATGAGTTTAGATTTGAAAAGAAGTATCTTTGACCAAACGGTTTTGAGAAAGGCCTTGATAACTCTGGTTCCTCACAAGATATAGAGCTCGAATAAAACAAATCATCCTCATTAAACGTGTACTATAACTGATGAAAAAATCGTATTTTTCTGACATACGGTTGAGACAGCATAAAAAGGTGGACTGGGGTATCCGAGCAAACTGGGCACTCCTCAAAAAAAGCTAGCCTTGATCATCAGATTGTGATCAGTACCGAGAAGATTATCTATTTGTCAATCAACATATAATATAGATGTAAAGAAAAACAAGGTGTTTACAAATGATAAGCTATGCTAACTTTCTTCGCCTTGTCCCTTCCCTACTGTTTAAATACGTGTTTACCACTAACGGTACTGATCACAATCTGGTGATCAAGACTATCTTTTTTTTTGGTAATAATGTACATTCCAAAATTTTGATGACCAGAAAATATGTTTTTTTTTTTCTCCTATTTTTCCTCCTATTTTTCGAAGTATGTTCTACTTTTATATAATATGATATATATAACAGTTTTATCATGGCACAATTGTTAAAAGATGTCTACCTTCCACGTAGTCAGCTTAAAAGAGAAGAAAAAATTGAAAATAGAAAGATATTGGCGCTGTGAATTGACATTTTTTTCTATTTTGACTAGATCTTGCTTTGTACAGAATTATTGAAAAGAAATTAAAATGGGTTGATATGTAGCGGAAGAATATCACCATCTTTATTGAACAAAATTAAATGAAAGTGGAACATCTCTGTTTTTTTACTTCCTAATTTTGCGAATAACCGATGGTTTCATGGCTTAACTAGAGAGAAGATGAATCATTGCGCGAATGAACGTTAATTTTTTTCGATATTTCCTTGAAAAAGCTTCAGTATATTCAAAATCTTCCAATATTATTTATGAATTTCCAAGCTGGTGCTCGGAATCCTTCTCCATCCTCTTCATTATCTTCATCAATGAGTTTTGTTCAATCTCATTATCAAAACGATGCTTTCTATAACGATGATTTATCGAGTTATTCTTATAAGTCAAGTCAGAAATTAAAACATCACCAAAGAGTTCAGGATCCTACTATTGAACTTTCTTCCAAATTGGAATCAGCAGCTATGACAAAGAATCCATTGTTAATTACGAAGACAGCATCTTTGTCCTACTCGTCTACAGATGATGATTCTTTAAATCAGTCAAAAAAAGTTCGACCGTTAGGCACGTGTGTACGAAAATGTTTAGTATGTAAACAACTGAAACGTATAATATTGGCAGAATGTTGTAAATGTTCCCGAATTATTGACCTGGATCTAATGGATTGTTCATGTTTGGTTAAAAATAATCTAGAAAACTTTGTTTGTACAGTATGTAATACAAAATTAACATTAAACGGTTATTTGATCTGTGTAAATCGTGTTTGTCAAACAACTATTTCGGCCATACCAACAGAAAAATTTTCAAGTAATAACTCAATTATATCTGGTCAACAATCAGCGATAGGCTATATCTGTTATCCAAAAGCTGGTTTAAGAACAATAGCAATAAATGCAAACACACTGAATTATCATCATCGTGAATATTCATCATCATCAGCAGTTGATTCTGTTAGTATCACAAAAGAAAATCGAGAGTTCATTCCCAATATGATCAGTATCAAAGACTGTCTGAGTGGATGTACTTCTGAAATTGATTATTCATCATTATCGTCAACAAGAACTGCAACAAGCTCAAAATCTCGAATGTGTGTACACTGTCCAAAAATGTTTAATAGAAATGCATATGATTCGAATAAATCACCATTGGAATCGGAACGACAGCAAAAAAGTACTTTAAAATCGATCGTAAGTCATTCAATAAGAAGCGCGAGAGCGAGCACGTATACTGAGGATCTATTATGAGCTGTATAAGTTTTACACCTGGGTTTAGGACTTATCAACATCAAGAAATGGCCCTAGGCCGCCAAATTGTTCGACAATTCAAGATCGATTAAATAGGCAATGTCAACGTTATTCGTCGAAATTATCAAAAATGTATAATCATCAATCCTCACAAACCCAACATGGGTGTCTAACGAATATAGAAGAAAATATCACATGCGACACTGTAACATCTGCAGTTATTATGAGAAAAGTGGATGAAACAAAATATGAAAGACAATTGCAAGTGAACACATTGTCGGAAAATCTCGAAAACACATGTAAAACCAATTCAGAAATTGATATTAGTATCAATGTAGAATCACCAAGAGTAAAGCATCGGAGAATCGAACAGCAACCGTCACCTATTACTGATAAATCATTAAGCGCTTTTGAAAGACAACTGTTAGATGCCATTACAGATCGAGATGGTCAAAAATGGGTAGAATATGTTAGTCAACTGAAAACTCAAACGATTTCATCAACAAGTGAACTGGTTAGAATATCAATTGAAGCAACAGCAAAATTGTTTCATAATAAAAACATTAAAGATTTAACAATGGGTCAAATAAGACGAAAACTTCGATCATTGATGTTACAATTAGACGCAAATGACGAAGATTTAGTCCACCGCATTGAGCAACAATTCACAGAAGATTTAACATCGATAAAATCAGGAATAATGATGAAAAATCAATCAGATGCCAGAAAAATTTCACTACAATCATTCAACGTCAAAAGTGATAAACATCCTATTACTGCTGTGAGAAATATCGTCGATGATAAATATGAGAAAATCGATCGTGATACTTCACAAATATGTGAAAATAAAAGAATGACCACAGCGATTGGAACAGATCACAATAGCAAGAAAGAACCAGCCATAGATACAGAAATTACTGTGACCAGAATTCCAACACTTCATAAATATTTCGGAGACGAAGAGAATAAATTAAAAATACGAACGGCTGATGAAACGTTAAAATGTTTATCTGAAACGTTGGAATTTCGTAATAGTCAAGCAGACGTTATCGAAAGATCATTGCCTGCAAAGCCGATACAAAGTCCAATCTCTAGTTCATCCATATCATCGAAGTTGAAGTCAGTTGAATTTATCACACAAGACAAATTAAAATCAGTTAGAGACATAAAGTCAAGAAAAGATGAAGGGGAAGATCAAAAACCACTGTTCACTCGAGCAGAAGATGTTTTTAAGAAACGTTTAACTAATATTAGTGACTTAGAATGTCTGAAAACTTCACAAGAACAAATTGAACAAATGAAGTCAAGAGAAAAACAAACGGATTACAAGAAAAAGGATGCATTTGATGAGAAATCACAAATTAGTAGAGATATTGATGAGTTAACAAAAGTAATTATAGAAGAACCGTCAATTAAACAAAATGAAGAAGAAATCAAATCTTTCAACACTCTAAACAAAAGTTCTATATCAGAAATTAGGCAGCTATCGGATATAAAAATCAGCGAAGAGAAAATGGCTGCTACCAAAGATTTGTCCCCAGATGACAATGCATCACCAAGAACAAATGTATTGGTACACGATATAATAAATCTGGAAACAATAAGTCTCAAAATTGGTGAGCGCCACATGGAAATTCTCTCTTAACAGCTCTTGCGATAAGATAATCTATTCCCGCCATAGTCTTGATGAAAAATCAAACATATCACTTACTCTGATGAAGAACAGAGATGGACGGGATGATATTTTTCCCTGTTTTGTATTCTAAAAAACCTTTCGGTACCGTACGTCGATCCAAATCTAGAAATAAGCCTTGTTTCTTTGTTTTAAAGGAATTCTCTTCTCGATCGACATTAATAGTCTATTTTTCAGAAGAACGCGATTTTCAAGACAAGAACTACACAAACTCAAAAGAACAAGTTGCCTGTACTTTATCCGATTCAGCTGACATAGACAGATCATTCGTTTCTTACGAAACTTTGTTATCTTCAAAAGAAAAATCCATTTCTGAACAATCTCCTCACCGAAGTTATCAAGAGCATAAGATCGAGTTATTAACAACCACCGCAGGTGAGACATTGAAAGTTAAAACTACCACAACAGACAAATCAAGACAAAGTTTAATATTAGAGAATAGTACATCTCAATCTCACAGACCTCTAATGCAGTCAAAAAGTGTTAAGCTGCCAGAGAGCACTGAATCAATTGAAACGATGGAAGACGGTGGCATCATCGATCACGTTAATAAGTGGAAGAGTAAACCTGTAACTGAACCTGAACACAAAGCAGCAATGTTACCAGAACAAATCGAATCTAAAACTGTCACTGATACTAAATCCAGACTGCATTGGGAACAACTGGAACCTGAAGTAACAGCCAACACCGAAACGCCTTTTACAATACCTAAAAGACCTTTTGAGAACAAAAAACGTGTTTCATCAATAATCAGTCTAGGAAAGTATGTTATTGAAAACGAAAATGAAATTCAAGCTGAATTAGAGGACACAAAACCAACAACATCAAAACCACCGGATAAACATGACAGACGGAAAAGCGTTTTATTTGACCATGAAATAAACCAGTCAGAAGGACAAGACGATACAATGAAAAGCCATCACATTCATTCCTTCAGTAGTCTGACAATATCCAATGATGACCATAATAGTCCATCGATCAAAATAGAAAAACCAATATTATCATCATTACAAGTGAGTGTCAAACAACTATTTCTTCATGTGGTAATACATATTTGTACATCTTAGAAAGCTAAAGACGTCTTTATTTATGACGAAAACGACCAATCGTACGATAGTGATATACATGCAAAAACTGAATTAAATCCTTTTCTCATAACTTCAGAGCAACATTTGAACACAAAAACAGAAAGCACTGATGACGAAATTAGCACACCTGTTGATAAATTTGTTAAATTATTAAATGACCGAGATAAAACAATAAAAACTAATTTGGACGAAAAAAGTCAGAAAATAGAGACGTCTCTTACTCGCTCAGAAGAATATCAAAAACCAACACAAGAAGAAAAAAAATCACAATATGTCTCTCAGTTAAATACACTGTATAAAACTGACGGTAAGAACAAGAAATGGATTTATTTTGTTCAAAATGTGGTATTTTAGAGAAAGCAAGTTGTTCTCACATGTAGTGGTAAAAAACTTGATAAAATCAACTCGAATAAGACTGCTTAAACTACCTTAAACATTTGTTTGTGCTGGTGTGCATAGTACAATCTTCGAAATTAAAACAAGTCTTACTTATCTGTATGACTGTTGTTATTGTCTTGCGCTTAGGCCCTTTAACACAAGCAGAAAAAAATTTGGCACGTGCATTAAGTTCAGATGAACGAGCCTATGATTCGCCAGATACCGTTATCATTCAGGCGAACGAACGTACAACAGCAGCCAACGAAGTAAATCAAATAGTCGAAATGGAACGAACAAATAGTGAAACAGATATTGGTGAACAACAAGACCCTCCAAGCACTAAAAAACTAGCTTATGCTCCAACAACTGCAGCTACCAAATCAAATCTAGTTCCATTAGTTGAGCATGCGTCTATGTATAAATTACAAGAGACAGATCTGGACGATTATAATCATTTTCATGAAGAAAATGTGATCGATGCTCTGCTAACGCTTCCTACTATTACTCAAGATGATAGTGATCTTGATCATCCAAAAACAATATTTATTAGTCAATATAATGATCAAACAACACGTGATTCTGTTATTCCTTCATCATCAGATCTAAATTCAGCTGAAGAAAACAGCAGTAAAATGTTATATAGAATGCAAAGTCTAGCTAGAGACAGTTCTGATATGAATAAGAAAAGTCAACCTGAAAAAGATTTAGATGAACATGAACTCCTCAAGAGCAAAGATGTAACAAGTAGGTAAAAATGTATGCAATACCTTAGCTCAGCAATATTTTATTCGTTCTCTGTTTATTTAAAAGAGACCTCGTCTAAAACATCAGGAGAACTGATGAAAATAGACTTGACTGGAACATCCGCACTAAAAAGTTTGGAACAAACTATATTAAACGTAGTTCATCAAGATTTAAATCAACAAATTAGTGGCTTGAATAATGATGAGAGTAGTGAATCAACTCGAAAACGACCTGACATAGAAAATGAATCATTAACCACTAACACAGCACACAAAAAACGATCTTATATAACGAATGAAACATTGAAATCAATGGTCAAAGAATATTCAACATTACCAATGACCGCTGACAATCAGTCACAACAACCATCCAAAAGCTCCAGGTCGATCAAACGTTTCTCGTCTGGGTTTCTCATGGAAAAAAAATCGAGAACAACATCAGCCCTTAAGTTATATTTTGCAAAACAAACCGATAAAAAATATGTATTAGTAACCAATAGCACAGAAATGACACCAGGTAGATTTTTTTGTTTAATACTTTAAGTAGCTACTATTAATATTTTTCCAACTTGATAAATCGCTTATTCAAACTTTACTCCGTTTAGGCACACCAACAATGATTAGTGCTACAATGAGAGGGCCGCTAAAACTATCACTGGCAACAGAAAAAAAGTCTAAAGAGATCATCGATACAACAACAATGATACCATCAAGTAACAGTAATATGACATTTTTGTGTTGTGGTGAATTAACTGAGATCAGAAAAGCCTTCGATAATTTGTTAATCACTCCGCACATGGTTTTTTTAACAACAGAGAACAAACCTATTGTAGCGCGGGCAAGAGAATATAAAAGAAAATCACAATCAGCATTTATATTAGCTGAGGTTTCCGAACGAAAACAAAGTCTCGAGCAACAAAAAAAACAGGAGCCTGGTACAGAGACAAACGTTTATCAGAGTTCGCCAAAACATGAGCAAAGGATTATCGGTGAATCAGCAAAACTATCGGTTGATTCTCAACTAACTGATGATATGGCAGAGAAATTGATCGAGAAGAATGACAAACAAAAACCTTCGATAACTACTGTTAATGATACGGACAGACAGGAATATCATGAAAAGACGAAAGAAGAAAACAGATCCTCTATCGATGAACGAAAAAGTGCACAAACATTACATATTGATGAAAAAGACGTAATCAACGAAAATCGCGACAAAAATAAACAAGTAAAAATACTCTGGCTATAAACGATTATATTGTGCATCCATGTTTTCAATAACAGTGATGATGTTACTAACGTGGATTACCTTTTCGGAACTGAAAAAAGTTCTCATCGTTCTCATCAAAAAGTCCATCTTTAACTGTTTGTTAACGATTCAGTGTTTATAGCTCTTGAAAACTTTTTGTGCGTTATGTAGAGTAGATGTGGTCTTTTTCTGAATACGACTGTGCAGGTGCCATCGTGATGCTGTTATATGTGAACAAGATGAATTTCTAGCAATTTCTCCTATATTTATATCTTATGACTCATACATAGCGGTCACATACGCAAAGCATTCTAGTACTTGTACACACCTAACATACGTACGATTTTATTTTAGAGCGTGAAAAATTTATCTTCTGAGGATGACGAAAATGAGCAGGCAGTACTTGCTGACTTGAAGAAAATGAGAGAACAGAACGAGAACAGAGAATCAAAACTGGAGCACAAACGTCCGATAGATGATAGAAACAGAGAACCAATATTCTACTCTAAAGAAGGGACTACAGAGAAGCTACAAAATCCAAGTAAACAGATACCTGTTGATGATGTTTATTGGGAAACGAAAATGAAGAATAAATTGTCGACAAAGATTACTTATCATGACAGAGAAGACTCCGCAACAAAGAGGGCTAATATGCACTCAATAAGAGAAGAGCAAACAACTGAGATCAGCGAACCAGAAAACAGTGTTGGTACGTTAATCTCAAAACAAAAGTTTGACCAGTCTGATGACACAGAAAGTAGAGCACAATTTCTCACTGAGTCAAATGCAAACATTGTGAAAAAAGATGATCATCAATCTTCTAAAATATCTCTAAATGTCAATCGATCTCCTATGAAATCTGAAACCATTTCGTCTAAAGAAGAATCTTACGATGATTATTTTAAAATTGGAATGAGAAAGCCATCAAGTCGTTCATTATCAGTGTCAGAAGACATCGAAACACAAAAGAATGATCCATTAGCCTTAGATAAATCAGAAGCTGCCAGAAAAGTCGCGTTCCAAAAAAATCAATCTGATGTTGAACTCAATCAGCCAGCTTCGTTATCCGTGACATATAAAGAAATAAAAAGAATAGAAAAGGATGTGTTGATTGGGACAAAAGTAGAAAGGAAAAAAGATTCAACTACAGAAGATTATCACTTAGAAAGACTGGCAACTCTTGATATGCTTCCTGCGACCACACCAAGAAAAACACGAGATAAAGATGATTTTTCTAATTTAACGGTTACAACTAGATCATCATCGAAAGTTTCAGTTGAAGTTCAAAAATCTGAACTTGAATTAATGTCTGATTTCATTTCTATGCGCGTTTCTCAATCGCAGTTTCGATTTGATCCGTCATCAAAATCTTCACTGTCCTCGTCCATAATTTCATTAGGTACACAAACGAAAGGAGAAAAAGAATCAGTTTATTCGTCATTGCAAATAAATTCGTTAGAGATTGAAAAGAGCGACTCTACACAAACTCATGAGAAGACTATAATGGAGAAAGATAAAAATCTCACATCGACATCCAGACTCTCTTTGGGAAAAATTGAAAAAAATGATACAGAGTCAAGCAAAACTGCTCTCGTTCAAACAGGCACAACAGTCGTGTTTCCTGTATATCCAACTGAATTAATCCATCAAAGATCAAAGGAGAAAAACGGCGATCTACCAGATGTAGTTGAACAAACAAGAGGTGAGACAAATTTAATCACAACAAGGATTTCAAAAAATCGAGAAGCTTTGAAAACGATTGAGAAAATTACACCTATAGAATTAATCGATGCTTTTGTGTTGGAGCCAATCAAGATGACTGAAGAAGAATACATTGCAGATAATATTGAGAAATTACAAGATTTATTCAATTCAAATACATACGATGACAAAAGAAAAAAAGATGACACAAAAACATATCCAAAAATATCTCATAAGGTTATTGCATCGGATTTTAATGCGCTTCCATCGGTGGATGTGTATACGAAAAAATCTCGACTAATCACCGATAAATCTATAAAAAGTGAACAACAATTCTTAGAGGCCAAAAATATGCCCAAGCTATTTTCCGTTCATAATGCATTGTACAAACAATCTAAAAGATTCCCGTCGAAAGAAAAAAAAGAAACATCATTAAAGTTACCAGCTGTTCTCTCAAACACTGAACAAGATTTATCATTCGATACTGTGATAGATTCATTTGATGATCTTAAAAACCATCAAGAAAGAGCGAAAGAAACAAGCTTAGAAATAATCCCCTACGGTGTGTAGAAAATTGTCGTTTTCAAAATTCTTCTTTCACCATGATGCTTAGTGAAACTGTTCTGTAGTTGTATTGTATCACAGAACGTGCGCTTTGGACCTAGTTAATCAACAAAGATCATCCTGATGAAGATTATGAGCTTAAAAAATAATTGATCTCTCGTTTTCCTCTTCTGTTACGATATAGTTTTTGTCTGTTCTCAAAAGACACATAATCACTCGCTCTAGGTCAAATGCAACAAATATCGGGTGTTTCGGACACGTTAAGAAGTTTGTGGATGCATTTAAATGATGGTGAAATGTTACTGATGGCGGAAAAAAATTCTCAATGGCCAAATAAATACAAATACGCCCATCATCTTAAATATGAATCAAAAACACAGCGAAAGCACGTATTGTCCATTACAAATGTCGGAAAAGATATTATTAGTAGTCAAAAATCGAAAAATTTATCACAAAAATGTGAGTCAGTTCAGTCAATATTTTCCTTAATAGAACATGTCTGACATATATTTATTGCGTTCTAATTGTTTTAGTACCATATATGTACGGTAAAATATGTGAAAAACAACGATTAGTTGAGGCGAAAGTTTATGATCATCGTAATCGAGGACATCAAAAACATTTTATACATTTACCAGTTAGTCAAGTCGAAAAAACTGATTGTAGATTAATACAAAAAAAATTTGGACGTGTTTGTCCAGGCTCGATTATTCATTTACCATCGATTTATGATGATAAATGGACAAAATATTCGCCAACTAGTCAATTTATAAAACGTAATTTCAGAAATAAAAGATTAAAGTCAATCAATAAAAGAATATTTGTAGATTATTCATCAACACTCACCAATCGTCTTTGCGCTACTCTTTCATCAGAGAGTGATAGAGAATATGTATACGAGGATCAAAAGGCATTAGATGCCATGTTCGAAAGTAATAATCGTAGATGTAAATCTGGTGGTATATTTCATCAGAAATACAGTCTTCTACTAGATGGTAGAAATTTGAAAAATCCAAGAGGAAAACAGTATCCCATTATTCAAGAAGAATTTTCATTCATGGATAATCCAGAAACAAGTACTCAAACGTGTATTATCGTTCATGATTGGGCATTTCGTGGATTAGTTGAAGAAGAACGAAAACGAATATTAAACAATAATAATATAAAAATTGAAAAAATATCATCATCCATAAAGAAAAAATTAATTAAAGATAGTGAAATATATTTAAATGTATGTATCAAAAAAAGACCATTAACAAAGTTTGAACAAGATTTTTTACGAGAAGTTGATATTATAACAATATCAGATGAGAAGACAATCATCTTGCATATACCTCATATAACTATAGACAATCAAGTCTTTATGAAAAATCAACAATATACGTGCAATCGAGCATTTAATGAAAATAGTGATACTAACACTGTATATCAATCAACATTGGCACCATTACTTGATGCTGCCGTTCAATTAGGAAGCATGTATGTGAAATATTTATTTGAATTTATTGTTATTAACAAATGAAAATGTATATTTCTATTTTAGGAGTCTTTGTTTTATAGTCGGTGGAAAATATTCTGGTAAAAATTATTTGTTACGATCATTAACTGATCATATTTCATTAGATTTAATTAAATTAATAGATGAATATGATATAACATGTAAATTACTTGGTATTTGCTATAATCGTGTTGCTGATTTGTTACATAATTATTTACCATTACGTATTTGGAAAGATAATTTGTTCGGTTGGCAAGTTTATCCATTAAAAGAATTTAAATTATCACATTCTCATGATATTGACTATTTGAATTATGAAATGAAAAAACGTCGACGTTATATTCATCAATTGTTATTGTTAAACTTTCGTAATAGACAAGATTCAAAAATAATTGGTTCATTATTATTAGTAACAATTGCCTCATCACAAACAATTTATTCAAAAACATTATGTTCATATCGTAAAAAATTTTTAATTAATTCATTAAATAAAACAATGTTAAATTTTAAACGTGCACTATTAAATATTAAACAAAATCAGTCAGTATTTAATAATGATTTATTAACAAGAATTATTCAACCTTACATATTAAGTAAACAATTAAAGGTGTGTTATATTGGTACAATTCATCCTGGTCATCGACATCGAATTGAAACCAAATCAACATTAGAATTTGCACAAACTTTGAAATCTTGTTTGAAAAAAATACATAAATATCATTGAAATACAAATAGAACATGAAAAGAGTTTGTAAAAAAATAGAATAACATAAATTTTGTATAATATAAGTCATTTGATAAAATGTATATCTTTTATACAGTACCGATGATCACACATTTATTCGATGCTCGTTGAAAAGTGTCTTCACAACTGCGTCCTCTATCTCTGTATATATCTGTATACTATGTCATAATTGGTATTTTTTGACACCAAAGATTTGTAATATTTTTTTTTTGTAAATGTGATAATTTTATAAGCGAAATGAAATTTTACCAAAGTAACTTATGAGAAAAAATTCAACAGATTTGATGATCGATTTATGGGTACAGTTTCTCATTCTTGACTAGTAAAATGTTTTTTGTCTGAATTATAAACCATCTCGTCTTCTCGTTCTGATGGACCGTTTTTTATTTTAAAAGAAATATCATTTTGCGTTGCTAAGACCAAGTTTTCTGAAACACTAGTCGACGGTCAGTTTTGCACTTTCTACCAGGATTGGAGTAGATCTCATTGAAATCTTTGCTGTGATTCAAAAATGAAAATGATGATGAACTCATTCAGTTTTGAATCTACTGATGAAATCAAAACTGAGTTTTCTGAAAGTGGAAACTTCAGCCGAACTAATTCTGGTCAGATTTTTCAGGTCTAAATCAGTTATTAGAAGAAAAACCTTCCTATAAATAATAAAGATTTCTAAACCGTGAGAAGGATTTAGAATAGCACGAAAATGGATAGCTGTGACCGTTACAAATATTTAAGAATAGTACTATAAGTAGGAAGGAATGACTATTACTATTAAACGCGCTCTCTACACTGTTAAAAAACTGTGTTCTTCAGTTTTTCAAAGAACTGAAAAGTCAACGGGAATTTTGTTCTTCATTTATCCCAAATAGAGAACTTAAATTCTGTTCTTCAGCTCTCAAGAACTCTAAATTTGTTCTTCAATTTTTCAAAGAACGAAAAAATCATTTTTTTAAAAATTGAAGAACAAATTTAGAGTTCTTGAGAGCTGAAGAACAGAATTTAAGTTCTCTATT